AGAGTTCTGAGAGTTCATTATAATGGCACACAGCAGATGTGTGGGCGGGACTTGGGCTGACCGATGGTGACAGATGGCCCCGCCCCTTCAGTGAACTGTGCAAAAACAAGCCACATTCAAAACATTCTCAATCTAGCATGTGTGTCTGACCTTCACTCTCTCCTGAGCGCTGAGAAGCAGCGTAAATGAGATGGCCGTCACTGCCATGGCGTGTGTGGATGGCATCCCGTACTCTGCGTCCACACGCGTTTCCAGTTTGACCACAGGGGGAGATGGAGGACGCGGCAGCTTTAAAATATCCTTCATCACTTGCCCAATATACATTACCACCTGCAGAGAGAGAGACAGAAAAATTAGATGTAAATGAGGCAAAGGGGAAATACAAAATAAGTACTGTTGCTGATAAAACACTCTCAGAAAAAAGGTACAATAGCTGTTACTGTAGTGTCAACCTTTCAAAAGGTACTAATATGTACACTGGAGGTGCTAATAATATGTACACTGGAGGTGCTAATAATATGTACCATTAAGGTAATAATATGCACCATTTAGGAGTAAATAAGGTACATAAGTGTACCTACCTGAAAGGTACAACCCTAGCGACAGCTTTTATACCTTTTTTCTGAGAGTAAGATGGTAATGCAACTTGATACCCAAACATGGTACTTTACTTTCTGGTACTTTTTTCTTACTATTTACAGCATATTGCCAGATTTAGGTGACTATTTCCAGTTCAGTGTTATTTTAGTATCATTAATATATTATTATAGTTTAGTTGACTAATATTTTAAATTGTTTTTTTTTAGTTAGTTTATTTTATTTCAAGTAACAAAATGTTGTAATGGTTTCAGTTTTATGGTACGTTTACACAACAACGATTGCACTAAAAATGGATTTTCCTTTGCATTTTTAAAACACATTACAGACGACAACGTTGTCAAAATGATCCCCATATTCACGGATCCGCGAAAACTAAAAGCACTGTATTATGCATGCTAGGCCAGTAGTTGGCAGAGTCACTTTGTAAAAAAATAAAAAATAAATAAAAAACTACCGCGCACATATGCATTTCTATAGAATGAACGCATAATATGCAAGCGCATGACGTCGCCATTTTCATAATTTCACTTTTTTGGAGTTTATACTGAGGCGATAACATGACCATTTTCGAAAACTTGCGCTTTGAAACACGTTTTCAAAAGTTTGCATTTTTAGGCTCCCAAAACGCATGTCAGCCAAAATGCATAAAAATTTCAGTTTTTAGTTGAAAACAGTTTCATGTAAACCCCTTAGTTAATGATAATACCTTGGTTCAGTCATGTTCATCTTTGTTTCTTCAGGAGATATAACAAAAAGCAATTCAAAATTAAGCTTCGTTGAACGTTCGAACAAATGAATAACTTCTCCACTCATGTTAAATTTAGTTCAGCTACATTGATTCCAGAGGTGAACCAATCAAATGCAGTTTGTCTGATGCTGTTGCTGTGGAAACTATATGTAAACTTGTGGAAATAGCATAAAATGAACAAAGATCTAAAATAGAAACACTGAGGAAAATGAATAAGAGAATTTGGTTTGTGTTACAATAGCTGACAGTAAAAACAGTAATATTGTAAAATATTATTACAATTTAAAGTAAACTGTTTTCTATTTGAATAAATTTTAAACTGTACTTCATTCTTGTGATGTAAAGCTGAATTTTCAGCATCATTACTCCATTCTTCAGTGTCACATGATCCTTCAGAAATCATTCTAAT